CCTGCAGTACCGGTCTAGCGCAGGTCGGCGCACCCACCCTCCGGCTCGGCTGAGCCCAACTGCCTCCCCTCGGGCCCGGTACAGGAGCCGCAGCCCGGGCCAGAGGCAACAACAGGCCCGCACGCGGAAACCACGTGTCGCGCGGCCTGCACATATCCCGGCCGCACCGGCCTCTCCCGCGGCTGCAGGAGGCCAGGCAGCGGCCTCTCATGTGGGCCGCCATCCTTCAACCAGGCGTTCAGCCCGGGTGGCGAGCGGGATGCCGCCCGGGGCCCCCACCTCACGGCCGGCAATGGTGAGTAGGCCCCTGAGGGCCACGCGGAGTGGGCCTCTCCCACTGCCGCCAGGTGGGGGGGTTTCTTCCCCCGTTTCTGGGCCCCCATGGTCCCCCCTTCCGGCGGCAGTGTTCTCCCCCCTCACTTGTTCTCCCCCTGGGCGGATGTCCCCCCCCGGTCATCCATGGGGGTGGGTTCCCCCGCCTCTGGGCCCTTTTCAGCCAGTCCTCCCTCCCGTTTCTGCCCTCCCCCAGGCCTCCGGGGGGGTTCGCTGGGTGGGTGTCCATGGGGATGGGGGTGTTCCCCATGGTCCCTGGGCATCTGGGTCCCTTCCAGCCTGCCCCCTCCATCCTCTGGGGGGGTCCTTGGGCCTAGTGGTTTCCCCCTCCACCCCTGCTCCCCCTCCCCTTGCTCCCCCCCTTTATCTTGTGCCCGGGGGTCCCCCCTGCTGGGTCCTCACTCCTGGGGACCTCTTCTGGGCCTTTACCCCCCACTCCTGCCAATGTTCCCTCTCTCTATGTCCCCTCCCCTGCTCCTTCCTTCCCTCTTATCTACTCTACCTTCCCCCCCCCGTGTCCTCCTCTCCCCTGGCCACTGGGTCCCACCTGCCCCTTGGGTGGAAGTTCAACGACAGCCAGTGCAAGTGGGGAGCAACATGTCGTTTTAAGGACGAATGCTCCCATTGCGGGGGTGCCCAGTCAGCATCCCACTGCTTTAAGCGGGGTAAGTCTGGGGACAAAGGCGACGTGGGGACTAAGGGCGAAGACGCCAGTGGCCGTGGACGTGATGCGCCCCTGGCTCGGCCGTTATAGGAACCGCCGGGCCATGGGGTTGCTGCTGGAGGGGTTTACCCAGGGGTTTTGGATTCCCTTCTCAGAGGGCCCCTCCTCCGGGGCAGTCAGGAACTTGAAGTCGGTGTTTGATTTTCCTGATGTGGTCCTCGAAAAGCTCTGGAAGGAGGTTTCACTAGGGCGGGTGGCGGGGCCGTTCGAGGCCCCTCCATTGTCCAACTTGCGGGTATCTCCCTTGGGGGGTGGTGCCCAAGAAGGAGGCGGGGAAATTTCGCCTGATTCACCATTTATCATACCCTCAAGGGGGCTCGGTAAATGATGACATCTCTGCCGAGCTGTGTCGGGTGTCATATGCTTCCTTTGACGCAGCAGTATGCACGGTCAGGGCAGCGAGTCCCGGGGCATTGCTGGCAAAGGCAGACGTGGAATCAGCGTTTCGCTTGTTGCCGGTGCACCCCAATTGCCATCACCTCCTCGGTTGTTGTTTCTAGGGCCAGTCCTATGTGGATATGTGCCTCCCGATGGGGTGCTCCATATCCTGCTTTTACTTTGAGTGCTTCAGCACTTTCCTGGAATGGGTGGTGCGGCAGGAGTCGGGGATCGACTCGCTGCTGCATTACCTTGATGACTTCCTGTGTGTGGGCCCTGCGCATTCTCCGGCGTGTAGAAGCCTGCTCACCACGGTGGAAAGGGTGTTTGGGCGCTTCGGGGTTCCCCTTGCGCACGATAAGACTGTGGGGCCAGTAACGTGCCTTAGCTTCCTGGGCATCGAGATTGATTCAGTGGCCTTGGAGTGCCGGCTGCCCCTAGACAAGGTGGAAGGATTGCGCTGGGACGTGGCGGTAGCACGGGACTTGCGGAAGATACAGCTATGCCAGCTGCAATCGCTTTTGGCGAAGTTGAACTTCGCATGCAGGATCATGCCCATGGGGCGGACTTTTAGCAGGCGCCTAGCAGCCGCGACTGCTGGGGTGGCAAGGCCTCAGCACTACATTAGACTCACAATGCAGTTACAGGACGATTTGGACGTCTGGGGTACGTTCTTGGCGGATTATAATGGGAGGTCGTATTGGCAGGCGCCAGAGGTGTCCAGTGCGGATCTCCACCTTTATACGGATGCGACGGGTTCTGTCGGCTTTGGGGCGATACTGGGGTCGCGCTGGTGTGCTAACACTTGGCCTGGGGACTGGTACGCCTCTGGCCTGACTAAGAATCTAGCTTTCCTCGAACTTTCCCCCATTGTGGTGGCTTTGGAGCTCTGGGGTCTGGACTTGTGGGATCGGCGGGTTGTCTTTCACTGTGACAACCTGGGGGTTGTGCAGGCGATTAACCAGCTCTCTGCCTCCTCCCCGCCGGTGGTTCGTTTGCTCCAGCGCCTGGTGCTACGGTGCTTGTGCCTTAACGTGTCTTGTAGGGCGCTGCATGTTCCGGGGGTTCACATTGTAATTGCAGATTCTCTCTCTCGCAGTGGTCGGAGTTTCAGGCAGCTGCGCCCCATGCGGACGAGGATGGGTGCCGGTGTCTGGTGGAACTATGGTCCCTGGGCTCGACGGGCTGATGGACTTGGTTCGAGGGTCTGTATCGAGTTCCACTTGGGCCAGATACTCGAAGGTATGGGCGGAATGGCTCAAGTGGGAGACAGGTCTGGGTTTTTTCCAAGATACGCCCACTCGATTGCGGGGTTTGTTGCGGCTATTGAACACTTGGGTGTCGGCGGGCATGTCGCCTTCGGCAGTGTCCTCGCGCCTGGCTGGGCTGAGTTTTTTCTTTAAGCTGCAAGGGTGGGGGGACGTGACCAAGGAGTTTGTGGTGAGGCAGTTGGTTAAGGAGCTGCGTAGGGGTCTGGTTACAGTGGATACCCGGAGGCCAGTGTCGGGGGTGCTCCTGGCGCAGTTGTGCCACGTGCTCCCGCAGGTGTGCTTCTCGGACTTCGAGGTGCGGCTTTTTCGCTTGGCCTTTTCGTTTGCTTTCTTTGGGGCCATGAGAATTGGGGAGTTGGTGTGTCCAAGCAGGGTGACCAATTGGGGGAATCCTCTTCTCGGATGTCAGGGACGGGCCAGACTGGGTCTCCTTTAAGATTCTCCACTCCAAGACAGACGTGTTTGGTAAAGGTAAGTGGGTTCAGCTGGCAGCTGCCCCAGGATTGGCCACCTGTCCGGTTCTGTCCTTACGGTGTTTTTGCGCAGTTCGCCCTGCACTGGCTGGCCCCCTGTTAGTGCACGAAGATGGAAGCTTCCTCTCCCATTTTCAGTTTGTCAGGGTGTTTCGGCTGGGGTTGGCTGCGTTGGGCATGGAGGGTGCGGAGTTTGGAGGGAATTCCTTCTGAATTGGCACAGCGATGGAGGCTTCTCGGCTGGGGATGCCGGATCAGGAGGTACAGTGAATAGGGAGGTGGGAATCCAGGAGGTTTGTCTCTTATGTACGTCCTGCTGGTGTCCTGAGCTAGACTGGTGTTT